CAGTTACAGTTTTGCATTCCCAGCTTTACATTTTGTATACATCTACCGATCGGTTTATATGGCAGCTATATGATATAGTTGTCCGATTTTTTTGAAATTTATACCAAAATTCTAGAATAATAAAATAAGCTTATATCCCGGAGTAGATGAAAATACGTTGAAAAACAACGAATATATAATTTTTTTTTCTATTAATTTCCCGATCGTTCCTATGGCAGCTATATGATATAGTCGTCCAATTTTCATAAAATTTTTACCAAAATTCAAAAATAATATAAAATGGTCATATCTAAAAAATGGTGCCAAAATGTTGAAAAACAACAAAGTTATAATTTTTTTTCTAAAAATATATCGAACATTTGTATGGCAGCTATATGATATAGTCGTCCGATCCGGTCCGTTCCGACATATATAGCAGTGAGAGTATATAGAAGACTATATGCAAAGTTTCATTGAGATAGCTTTAAAACTGAGGGACTAGTTTGCGTAGAAACGGACAGACGGACAGACGGACAGACGGACATGGCTAGATCGACTCGGCTGTTGATGCTGATCAAGAATATATATACTTTATAGGGTCGGAAACGTCTCCTTCACTGCGTTGCAAACTTCTGACTGAAATTATAATACCCTGCAAGGGTATAAAAATACATCTTCAATTCAAATTAAATTTATTTTAGATTTTTGATGATTTTTCTATGCCACGCAATTTAAACTAGCAGAAAAGTTCCCGAATTTCCCTTGAAATGCAACCTAAATCCAGCTAATTTTTTCCAGTGCACCCACACAAATGTGGCCAGAATCATCGTCTGCAGTTGCCGCCAATTCTCTTTCTTTTTTTGTTGTTGTTGTTGTTTTGGAGTTCTCGCAGCTGCACTTTGTAAATGTCAGGCCAGACTCGATGTGCGTGGGCGGGAAAATGGAGAAAAAGCAGGAAAAGCAAGCGGGGCCAAAAAGGTTATGGTGGCGCCACATGACATTTTGGCAATGCAAGCGAACGAGTCCTGCGGCGGCCCAAAGATTTTTCCTATTTGAATGGCCATAAATTATAAGCGGCAGACGAGAAGATAAAAGCAAGAGTTATACTTGCAGAGGCGTCTTTGCGTTTACTTTATTGATTACTGCGCTCAAAGTTCAACCGAATGAGTGATAGGAGGTAATATATACACAAAGCATAAATCATATTTATACCTAGATATTATAGTTCAATTCTGAAACATTTTTCCTTAAAGATTCCAAACATTAAACTTCTTGTAAATAGAAAATTTCCTTCTTAATCACCTCTTTAAGCGTTAACACCTCTATCAGAAACCACAGTAGAAAATCTGCCCTTTTACACATAATTCAACATTTATTGTGGCACCCACACCCTACCACCCTTTTGGGTCTCTTTAAATTTGAACCCTAGGCTTTGGCAAACAATTCCTTGTTGCTCTTTATGTGCGCAATTTATCAGGCCAAGACCCAAAAAAGAAAAAGAAAAGAAAACGAAACCCCTTGGAACTATAAAAACACAAATCGTTTGTGTGGAATGCAAAAATAATTTGCAAATCAAAGATTGATGCAGAAAAGCGGCAACAGCAAACCGGAGCGAAGGACAAAACAAATTCCAGACCATTTGAATTTACCACCCAGCAGAACCCGGCGAACATTGCGTATCCGCAGCGTTGTCGTCGAGAGTTGATGACATGACCAACAAATCGTAAATTCGATAAAAGGAAATTAGAAGGAAAGGCATCCCAAGGCAAGAAAAAAGCAAAAAAGGGGGAAGAAAACAAGCACTGGGGGGGTAGGAAAGAAGTGAGTGTGCGAGATTTTCCATTTGTTTGTTTGTCTGCAAGGGGGAATTTAATTCAGCTATGAATAAGAAATTTTCCACGCTCCAAAGCCATATGGAAATTGAAAACCGAATCTGTGTCTCATCGAGGATTTTGCAAATTAGGTGTCGTGCAAAGCCATAAATTGATTATCTCAAGTATGCCTTTGAAATATTAATGCTTGCCTTCGATTAGGTGCCATCACGTAGCCCCTCGAATTATTCAAGTTTCTTATTGGTGAATAATAAACGGCAGTTTTATTGCTTTAATGGCATGACTTAAAGTTTGTTAAATATGATGTAATGATTAGTTTATTGCTTTAGTTTTATATACAACATTTATTAAAGTTCTCTGTTGATAATTCCCAAACATCTTCAATCCTTTCACCTTCAATTAAGTTCCATCACGTACCCTTAAATAACTCAACTTTTATCAGCAAATTATGAGTGGAGTCTAGACATTGTTCTCCTCTGACTGGCATTTTAATCAGGCGCCGTTGTAATTCCAATTTACTTCTGATTTGCCAGAATGTTAATTGGCCAACGCCTTGACCACTAATTGAAATTGCTGAAATGTGTAAATTATCTGAAATTATAATCTCTGCCGGCATGGAATTCCTTGCTGTCGATAGGCAATTAAAACTTTATTTATTGCAAAGCCAAAGAAAAAAGACTGCAACCAACAATTTTCACAGTTGTCCAAAAGTCCTTCGGCGGCTGCAGGCTTCTCCAACTTGGCGGAAAATATAAAATAAAGGAATGGGGAAAATTCCTGCCTTCATCATAAGGGAGCCTCAAGTTAAAAGGAAAACTGAAAAACAAACAAAGCGATGAGCAAAAGCCTGATTTATTTCTTTCCCGCCGCCACCCCCATTGATGTTTTTTAATACTTAGGTAAAACATTTTGCGGCCTGCTTATGGCGTAATCTTCCGGTGAAACTCAATTAGTGAGAAAACCACAGGATAAAGAAAAGATTAAAAGCCTAAACAATCAAGGTGCAACTTGGAAAAGTGTGTCAATAAAATAAGTAGAGGAGGTATTAAGTAAATGTGGGTTAATTAGGGGTTACATTAGAAAGCAGAATACTTGTATAAAGAATTATCAACATTTCTGAATGATTTCTATGATTCCAATCACAGCTAACCCTAATAAAAACTCCAAAGTAATTAAGACCAGATGATGCTGTAATCATAAAAGAATGAAAAACTATTCCTATAACTTCCCTCCCTCCCTAAACAGTTTGCGGAACCAAAAACAAGAATTCAATTCAAAACGACCTTCCCATCTTCTAGGCTCTGTACTTGGGCCCCCAAAGCTTTAAGATCGTAAAAATTTACAACTTTTGTAATTGCAAAATAGTTTGGGCCTAACATGGGGGATATTTTGTAGGGATACATGGAAGAACGTACACTATATATTGTATATATATTGCCGATAACAGACACCTATCCGGGGACACCTACACACACACCTATCTATAAAAGATGGGCCGGCAGATTTTATTGAGACATTATCAGGCGAAATAAACGGGGACAATTTGGCGAAAATTGGGAACTGGGACAAGGGAGTCGGTTTTATGGACAACATTCTGTCAGGAGATGACAGCAAAAGGCGTTACAAATTGCCGGTCGTGGGCGTGGCAGTGGCAAGTGGGCATAGTTTTTGGCTCTGGCCTTCGTTCGGTGCTGTAATGAATGGAAATGTATGAGCGATAACCAGGCACTTGGAGAAATATAACTGAAAAATAACTAGAACTTATTTATAATTATTTTAATTATAAAGAAAGCGGGAGAGAGTTGAAATAAATTTAAAAAGTATCTAAAAGTATGCAATAAATTATTTTTCTTTTTATTTATTGGGAACATTTTAACAAATAAATTTGCTTATGGATAAATTTAAATTGATTTAAAATAAATATACATTTTTGTAGCATTCCTGGATAATATTTATTAAATTATAATTTATTTTAAATCAATTTTAAATCGAATTGAATTTTATATATTTTATAAATTAACATAATTCATCCAATTCACATTTTAAAATAATTTTTCATAGTGCTATTTTGTCGGATCCAACTTTTATGGCTCATAACCTCAACTGCATGGATGGAAATCGGTGAATGGCGGCATATTTGTGTGCGATTCTTCCGATTTATCATAGCCAAGGCCGCCAGGGCACTTTATTTGCTCTGCTTTCCTGCCCAATTAATTGAGCCATAAAATGCAAAACCAAAACAAATTAAACATAAATAAAAAAGTATATATAAACCGTGGAAAGGCAAGTGACTCCGCCAAAAATATTTGTCATGGTTAAAGTCTCTGACAGACGACTCGGTGACACTTCGATCCACAGAAAACAGGACCAAAAAGGCGAAAGAAATTCATAAATAAACATTTGCCCGGTGCAAACAGTGAATTTTCCAAAGGGAGCTATTAGTAGGAAATGCGGCGGTGGGTGGTGCAAGTGGGTGGTTTTTTTGGGTGGTATTTCGGATGACTTTCCGGTGGTTTGGGCTGTCAGGGCGGCGCCAAGGGTGCGCGATAGCCCGTTGACAGCTAGCTGGGAAAGCGGATATGGAGTGAGCGACAGGTTTTTCCCTCCGCTTTTCCTTTTCCTCCCTTTGGACGTTCGTGTTTATGCAAAATTTAATTTCGAGCACTTACTCAAATATTAGCAGCAGGAAAAAATGCTGCGGCGTTTAGTGGGGGAAGAGAAAGATAGTCACAAGCTTATAAAATTTTCATTATTATGACTAACAAAGCATATTATAAATTCTATTTTTAAGTAATTTATACAAGAACTAATCAAAAACGACTATTTAAAAAAATTAAATAAGGGGGAGTTTCAGAGTTTCTTAATAATTAAGGAACATCCTGTACAAAATTCCCTAATGCATTAAACAAATAAATTTTAAAATATAAAAACACACATAAGTGACATTTATAAAGTTTGTATCAATTATTAAAACATAAATAATTAAAAGACTTTAAATTTATGAATATATTTTACACAGGATTTTACATTACTGTGGCGACACCTGGCGACGTCAGTTATTCCGTTAATTCCATCAGATGTGGTTTAAGTATCAGCTGTGGTTCGAATTTAGGGATTTTTGGATTTTTTAGGGCAAAATTTGAACTATTTAAGATTTTTGAAAGGGAACAGCAAAATGTTCATCTGGCCACACTGAATGTTCTAACTGTGTTTGTGCGCGACTATTTTTTTGGTCGCTATTTTTAACAAATAAACTGGAGAACGGCGATCGAACGGCTTTCGCAAATAGTTTAAGTCTGCTCGATCAGGAGTTTGTCCATAATGTCGGCTGTGATATCGAGTTGTTCGTAAAGAAGCGCCTGAGTAGTGGGTAAGAATCGGAAAGAACATTTAGAACTTTTGCCACGAGCATATTAAGTGCGTAGGTGTGACTGTGTGAGTGTCTGTTTTCGTCTGTGCGTGTGAGCGAGCGAGAAGGGGCGAAGTAATCCCCCCATCAAGCACAACCCCCTCTTTTTTTTTCTTTTTGGACACCAGCTGGTGGCCTCTCTTTAAAACACAACAACAAAAACAAGCAGAGCGAGGGAGTGCGCTAGAGAGTCTTGTAACCGGGTCCCGTTACAACAACGAAAAAGTGCCAACACGGAAATGTGCAACAGAAAGAGTTACCAACAACAACAACTACAGTATCAGGAGAAGTAGTACGAGTTTTGTGTGCCTTTCGTGCAGAAATTACCAGTTTTTTTTATTTCCCTCTGCACAAATGCCACAAAGTCGAGTTTTCCCAGCTGCTGGTGCTGCAACAACAACAATAGAAGCAGAGCGCCGCGCAGATTTTCCGCATTGCAGTTGCGCCAACTAACACCATTTTCTGCTGCTTCGTTTGCTGCCTCTTCGTGTGGCTTTAACATGCAGCGCGCGTTTAATAAACAATTAATCGTCGTGCAATAAACAACCCGCGCATACTTTTCAAATATTACACCACGCGCTCGCTTCCCTAGCTAGTTACATAATAATTTACAAGTCGCGCTTCAGTTTCGTGCTTCTCATACCTTTGTTGTTATTTCGTGCTTCTTGAGGTTGTTTCTTCTACATCTTCTTCTTGGCTTCTAAGAGTGAATACAAAACAACCTGTTAGCTATTGACTCTAATTGCCTCTCTACCTCTAGCCGCCGTTTATGCGGGGTAACTTTTGAGTGTTGGGGATCCCTAATTGAACAGTTAAATAGGGAAAAACAATACAATGGAGGTCAGACCAACTGTTTTTGACGGTTTATCTTATATAGACCACAGCTGTTTCTATATGTTTTCTATTCTGTTCTGATGTGACCGTGGTTGGGGCCAAGAATGTTTCAATTCGCTCAATTAACGCTGATGGCATTCCCGCATAAACGATTCGTCACACTCGTACACACACATCACAACGCACGCGATCGATATTGAGTCTACGTCTCTCACTTACTCTCCTTTTTGACCCCCCCATTTCTATCTCTATCTCGCCCCACAGCGTGCTGCTCTTCCCACCTGTGGGCAATTACCGCCGTTATCTCATCCATCAAACATGTGAGAACTACCGCCAGCAGTACGATCTGTTCACCTTCTCAGTGGGACAAGGAGCGCTGCGGCGCACCGTCTTATGTTTTCGCAATCAGCTCCTCGATCCGCACGGCTTTGAGGCGTGAGTATTGATTACATGGGTTTAGACTTAATTGATTTTTATACAGCTTGAAATTAATAATTGGCTGATGGGACATTAAGATCATTTTTTTCAGTGTCATTCTCTTTCGATTTCCACAAGAACCCCAAACTAACTAAACACTCATAACTGTAATCTTCGCAGTCGCAAGCAGCAGCAGCAGAGAGAGAAGGAGCGCGAAAAGCACCAGCACCAACAGCAGCAGCAGCGGGAGCGAGAGGCAGCCAGGCGAAGCTGGCGGAGCAACGCCAACGCCACCGTTAACGGCAACAACAATTCGCACGTCGACGCTCACAACGGCAGAAGCAGCAGCGCCAGCCGAAGACACATAACGGAGCTCTGTAAAATGGGCGTTAAGAAGCATATCAGCGAAACACCATGTGAGTAAATACAGCATAAATAAAAAACAAACTAAAAACATCTTAAAAAAAAAAAAAAAAAGAAACAAACAAAAACAGACGCTATTTTTGATTAACTTGGCGTGAAGCGATGTTTCGGCATTTGAGTTTAGCAAGCAGCCATAAATTCAAATACTTTGCAAATACGCAAAAGATGCAAAACAAAGAAACTCGACAAAATATTAATCAGAGGCAGTAGAAACAACGAAGTGTAAATACCCTGAGGAATGTATTCTAATGAAATTAATATTGCTGAATTCAAGACAAAAAATTAAATTAAATTTACTTTAAACATTAAACACGCAAATCCAATAATTCCAAAGATTTTTTTCATTAATTTATTTGTCATTCCATTTATAGAGAACATTGAAAACAAATGTACATATATATTTCTCATCAAAAAAATACACTCTCCAGCTTAGAGTATATTCAATTAAATATTTGACTAAAAATAATCAGCGACGACGTCGACGCAGGCAGTGACCGGAGCTGAGCAGCGGGTTCATTCAAGGTCGCCCTCTTTCCCGAGCGGATTTTTTGGTGCTGTTGCATCACAAACACACACGCACAAGGGGGAACGATCACAAACACGCATACGCTGCGCACGCTCACTTGTGCTCTGCTCCGCTTGCTTCTCCCCTCCCACTCTCGGTGGCCTCCCATCCGGGGCAATCCCCTTACCCCCTGCGGGTGTCCACCAATACCACTACCACCTGCCAAGTTCGTGTTGACATTCACGAATCTCGAGCACAAAACGTACCACGAAAAATTGGGTCGACATAAGTGAATTTTGTTTTAATTTATTTTATGCCAAATCCGTTGCTTCACCTTAGTCTCTATTTTTTTTGTTCGGTTTGTTGTGTGCGATTGCCAACTATTGTTGCTAATCGTCTGCTTAGGCTCCCCTCACTTTGTTTTGCTACTTTTCTATCTTTGCATCTATCTGTGCGTCTTTTAAAGTATCTCAAAGATATTGTGATAATTTGCTACTACAGTGTGAAGTCTTTAAGGGGAAATACTTTTATTTTTGCTAAAAAGTGTCAGTCAGAAGTGAATCTTTATTAGATGTAATATTTTAAATAGGTAAATATAGTATTTTTATTTTAAATTAATTTATTTGTGTATCTTTTTCCATCTTTCAGTAAGCAAATCAAACTCAGTGGATTTATACAGACCTCCAGCACTGAGAAACAGTAGTAATAATAACAACAATAGCAGCAGCGAAGAAGCAGCTGCAACGAATGAAGCAACAAATACAACAAGCACTACTACAATAAAAAAAATAGCTGCAGGCCCAGCAACAACAACTGCATCTACAACTCCTACCTCGAAAGAATCCCCGAACAGGTAGGTAACCATTAGTTAGCACCTTTTCAGCATTTAACCTGTGAAATATAGAAAATAATGAAGGCTGAAATAGGAAACAGCTGAGAATGATGATAAATTTTCTACCAAGAAGTGATAATCTTTGAGATACAGATAAATATGAATAGAACAATAAAATCAACCCTAAAATTCCAAGAAATCTAGCTTTCTAGTTTCAGAAAATATTTTAGAAACTAAGAAACCTTTTAAACTAGTAATATATAAATTTTTTCAATTATAAAAACTTGATCAGTGCACGTTCTTATAGCTAAGGTGTCAGTTTCAGTGGAAGTTTTACTGTATCTTAAACACTTTGTGAAATTCTTTTGTAAGCTAATCGATTACGCTTCTCTTTTTATTTTTCTTACTTTTGTTACCTGTGTTTTGCTCCGCTCTTTCGTAGAGAGCAACAGGCGGCGGACACCTCTGCAGCAGCAGCAGCGGCGGCAGCAGCAGCAGCGACTCGTCGTGAACGCCGTCCCGATCGCGCCGTTTATGTGCCAAGGGCACGTCGCAGTCAAACCACACCACCGACCGCAACAACAACGCTTACAGCAGCAGCAGCTACAACTACAACAGCAGCAGCAATGGCGCCAGCACCAGTACCAGCGGCAGCAGCAATTACAACATCACCAACGACAGCCGCTCTGCCGGCTGTGGAATCACCGCCAGTCGCAGAAATGAACTCGTCCAAAGCAGACGAAGGTACTAACGGTCAGCAGCCTAAATCGAAGAAATCCAGGTCGCATCGCGATCGCAGGGAACGCGGCAAGAAATCGGCAGCGGAAAAGTCCACTGTGCTTGTAATAGCAGGAACTGAAAACGACTCTGAATCAAACCAAGACAACCGACCGGCCAAGCCAGTGGACTGTGATAAGGAGGTAGGTTCTTGAAAGTTTATTAAATTATAAATTCACTAAATAAACCTTTATTTTCTTTACCTTCAGATCATCATGAGCGGCGCCCAGCGTACAAAGCCAGGCAGTGGCCATAATAAATCAGCCAGCAATGGCAAACAACAGACATCCCCGTCATTGCGCATTGAGGATGTGGCCGTGGCCAGGACCACCAATGGCGAGGAAGCGGCCAAATGTGATAACGATGTGCGCGAGCTGCAACGAGCCTCAAAGGTAAATTAAAACCCTAATTTAAATTTTAATTTTAAACTAAATTAAATTATAATTTGTTTCCCTAAAACAGGAAATCAACCGCAGCAATCGACGCATCATGAAACAAACCTTCGACTCGGATGTGCTGGAGATTCCAGAGAAGATCGAGACAGGGCCCAAGGCAAACCCATTAGCAATATCCTCAGCGAAACCACCTGCAGACAGCACCACCGAAGACGATGACGAGGAGGACGAGGATGACTGGGAGAATATGTTTGATGAGAGCGGCGACTGTTTGGATCCCAAGATACTCCAAGAACTGAACGAGTCCGTGGGCAAGTGCAAGATAGAACTGCCTAAAATGGATTACACCGTGAGTATAATTTCTAAAATATTTAAAAACAATGTTTTAAATATTCGCTAAAATATTACCAGCTCTTTCACATCAAACAACAATTGCTCAACGAGGAAGAGTTCCCCCACGTCCTGGAGGTGTCCAATTTCCCGGTAGAGTTCAAAACTCCTGACCTGCTCATGCTGTTCTCCCAGTACAAAGGCAGTGGCTTCGACATCAAATGGGTCGACGATACTCATGCCCTGGCTGTCTTTAGCAGTTCCCGCATCGGTAGGCAGTTTATATTTCATAAAAATAGATTTTTTCTGAAACAGATTCCGTTTTGCAGCTGCTGAAGTCCTGACAATGGGGCATCCGTTTGTCAAGTTGAAGCCACTGGCCGAGGCCACACTAGAGTCGCGACTGAAGGCCAAGAAGTCGGGGGCTACCTCGCTGCAGCCCTATCGCCAGCGTCCGGAAACGTGCACAGCCCTGGCCCGGCGTCTAGTGTCCGGTGCTTTGGGAGTTAAGCTGCCAACGGCGCCGCAGGAGCGAGAGAACGAAAGGCGCGTACTACGTGAAGCCAAAGGTGAGTGTAGCTTTTAATGATCCAGCTTCTCTTATTTATTTCTTGACATTTTTATTCACAGAACGTAAACTGTTAGCTGCCAAACAGCGGGACGAGGTCTGGGAGAGCTAGACTGTCGCGAAAGCGGAAGCGGAAGGCTAGGTGCATTTTTTCTCACATGCGCAACGCATGCCCCCCAATAACTGCAACAGCAACAACCACATGAAGATCAACTGGAACAACTTACCAACCATGAAAAACCCACAAAAATACACTTTCTCAATCAAAGCTAGCAAACTAAGAGAGTAATTTGCATGCCAAGCAATGAATGTACTTTAAATGTTCGCTTTTTGTGCAATTAACACAGATTTTTGCTCAATTTGTTGTAGGTTTTAGCAGCGGATGCATTGATGTAATATTATGCATAATATATCGTCTTAGGCCGTAAGAGAGAAGTATTTATTGGTCGTAGAAAATAAACATGCATCTGCGTGTGTGTACGTGTTGTTTTAACTCCAGGCGTAAACCTTAATTTTTAAGCGCGAGCAATTTATATATATATCTATATATATATTTTAATAAAGTTTATAGAGTCTAAGTGATAAGTAATTGATTATATGGAGTTTTTAATTGTATATTTGGGAGGTGGTGTGTTGTTAGGATGTAATTCATTTACGTTTTGCAAATTTTAAGCAAAATGATTTTTTTTTTTTAATTTTTGTCATTTGAAAAAATGGATAATTTGTTCAAGCAGACTTTGTTTAACTCGATTATTAATGCTGATCAAGAATATTTGGCTGTTTTATTTGTAATTTAATTTATAATTCGAAATATTGTGAATTAAAACCCGGTTTCTTAATAGTTTTTAAAAGATTTAATAACATTTGTACTAAGACGGTAAACATATTTGGGCAGACATCAAAGTTTTCAGAGCAAAAAGATCTAGTTGATAATCAAATATAAATATTAATTTAAAAAAAATATTAAACTACTGAATTTGTTTATATTATAAATAATTTTGAAACCTTTCAAAAGTAGTATGTCAAAAATATCGCCAACGAACATCGATATATTTATTGGTTTCAATATCCTGGACCATCACTATGGTCATCGAAGTATTTCCACCTCTAATTCCAAAGCCGGTGCATTTAACACAAACAAAAAGAGTTAATTATAGCACTTAAAAGGTAACAGATGTGCCCGAGTGTTTACCTGCGATGCAAGCTCAATTTTTCGCCACATTTTGAATAAGTTAAAAGGGAGTTAATATATCGAAAAGTATTTAAATTCCAGTTGTTGCTTCGAAGGCATTCTTATTACATTAAAAACAGTTTCGCACCAACGCCACACTGACAACTATAAAATTTATAACCAGTGAATGAAATATTGATAAGCTTATCATCTGCGGAAGCCCAACAACAATTGGAAGGGTTATATATAGCGAAGTCAATTGTAGTTTCTTGGCAGAAGAGAAATATAAATTTTTTTGACTGCGTGGCCAACAGTTGTGTGTGTGTTCGTGTTATTTTTTTGGGGTATGTAAAGTAGTGGATATTGGCTTGAAAGGATTGGAAATTACTAAAGTTAAAATCTTAATAAAAAGTTTGTGAGAAGTCTTGGAACACCTTAGAAACTCTTCAGTACAAAAAAAAAATTATAAAATACAAATATAATTATTTATCATTATTTTATTACTATTATCCACTGTAGCGTCGAGTTCATAAATAATAGTTTTTGGGGGCGGCAATAATTGTGAAAATATCGTGTCATAAATATCAAATAAAGCGAAACTAATTGGATTATATTTGTACTTACCTACGTGTAATATCGTTTTAGCCGCGTCATGCTTAAGCACTTATCAATCCTACTGCTATTGGCGGCAGCATTTGTGGGGGCTGCCAAGCCGGAAGATAACGATTCGTGTTACTCCTTCGCCGGCGGATCCGTTTATCCCGCCGAGGAGCCCAAGAGCGATCATCAGCTGCAGTACACCAAGGCAGTCAGTGAGTGGCAGCAGCTCTACCTTTAGATTAAAATTTAATTTGTTGTATATATTTCAGTTTCCAAGCCAGCTCCACAGTTTGAGGGAACCGCTGTGGTGAACAAGGAGATTGTAAAGCTATCGCTAACCCAATATCTGGGCAAATACGTGGTGCTACTCTTTTATCCTTTGGATTTGTAAGTACTTTATTTACATTTTAGTTTCAAATTATTGAAATTTCTTTTACTCCTTTAGCACCTTTGTCTGCCCCACGGAGATCATTGCCTTTTCCGATCGCATCGCCGAGTTCCGGAAGATTAACACCGAGGTTATAGGTGTTAGTGTGGACTCGCACTTTACCCACTTGGCTTGGATCAATACACCGCGCAAGGAGGGCGGTCTGGGCAATGTGAAGATCCCCCTGCTCTCTGACTTGACGCACAAGATCAGCAAGGATTATGGCGTGTATCTGGAGTCCAGTGGTCATGCTTTGCGCGGCCTCTTTATCATCGATCAGGCTGGTGTGTTGCGGCAAATAACAATGAACGATCTGCCTGTGGGTCGATCAGTGGATGAGACCATCCGGCTGGTGCAGGCTTTCCAGTTTACGGATACCCATGGAGAGGTTTGTCCAGCGGGATGGAAACCTGGAGCCGATACGGTAGGTTTTGGATATTTAATTTAATTAAAGGAGTCTTTAAAGATCCTTTTAATAAAAAACTCTTAAAGAGCATCTCTTATAATACTCCTTTTCTTTCTTTTCCAGATCGTCCCCAATCCGGAGGAGAAAACCAAGTACTTTGCTAAGAATAACTAAGAGTTATCCATCCATCCTGCTGCCGCCCCAAGCCCAGTAACATTCCAGATGTTCACCGACTGACAAGACACCGAACAATAGGCCCCGTCGTCGCATCATCAGTCGTCCTTTGTACATTACACTTTTGTCATTACCCCGTAAAGTTATCCATTCGTTTTTGTACAAAATTTATAGGTTGTTTATTTTACAGCATAACAGAGATAAATAAATTGATGAAGTAAATACATTAAAGTGATGATAGAAATGCTTGCCGCCAACCGGGACGCGACTACAAAATGGGAAATCGGCAAGAACCGATCCCGAAATGCTTTGAAAGAAGCCCTCAAGTGGCCCAAAAATATAAATGGTTAACAATTCGATTGCGATTAGGTTCATACAAAAATATATATATATATATAGATGTTGTGTAAAATATTTATAATAGTAAATCATTAGTTAGGTACGCCATGGTTGCATTTAAGTAGTCATTCCTGTGTGCTTTTACCTTTGGGTACAACAAAGCTAAGTATGTTGAGGTATATAAATCGGGGAAACGGGACGTCATAAGGCACTCGTTCTCGTCTGTTTCATTTTTATATGTGGTTAGATAGTCTGTGTTTCTTGTGCGCGTTTTTAAATGCCAAAATTCAAGTTCATAAAATTAAAAAAACGAAAAGTGCCGCGGCATATTCGATCATGTTTTGTGCGTAGAGATTCTGCGGGAGAGATTCCAAATCGAAGAAAGCATTGCACTTCTCAGATTCCCGGGAACTTGGTTCAAAATCAAAGTATTGAAAAATAACCTTAAAGCTAAAGTCGATGCAATACGTCGTTCCATTAAGCAGTCGGCGTTTTAAGTGAGTGTCTTGTCTGTTGTTTCTTCGTGTGATGAATTGATCGAATGTCCCAACTTATTGCTCATAATATACCACGTCCTGGAAAATAAAATAAATACGAATTAGTGATGTAAATGTGGAAACTGGTAAGTTAATCTATATTACATTTATGTACATTTTTTACTTTCATTATTACTCATTATTTAAAAAACCCATTTTGAGTTCTGATTTTAATGATGCATACTTCCTCAAATATATTATATATATAGAAAAATATCACAAAATTTACTACTCACAATCAAGAAGAGTGCTGCAAATACGAGTGCCTTCATGCGCACATCCAAGTTCAGGGGGAACGTCACGCTGAAGTAGTCCGCATCGGTGAACAGCTCCCTGCCCAGGCCGGACCATTGTTTGGTTATTTTGCCGATCTCCTCATTATTGGCGCTCAATACCTACAAAAATGTGAAAAAAAAAAAGGCGAGAGATGAGTTTGTTGTGTTTATTTTTCGCAATAATCGGGAATTCGCACAGACACACACACACACACACAAGGTTCGCAGTATCTGAATCTGAATTAATTGACTCGCTGTAGACAGTCAAGCATATCGACGACCATAGTGACGTCATTGCCTCGGACTGCAGTATCTTCTGTTAGCTTAATATGTACCACACAGTGGGGGTCACAAAAATAGGGATGCCTATTTCAAATATCACGTTATAACAATTAATTAAATATTTATGAATTTAAGGGTCTCACGATAAAAAGTAATGATTTAAAATTTAAATTTAAATAAAATAAATATTTGAAATGTTATAAAATTATAAAAGATACCTATTTAAAAAATCTGTTTTAAACAAGATATATAAAACACTCAAATATTTTTTGAAAATAATTCAATTTCAATAATAAATATAAAGAATACCTAATCTTCTGACCGCCTGTGTTTTATGTACCCTTCTTTGAAATATTTATTATTTATTATTTTTTTTGTTTAACCAAAAGGACAATTAATGTTATTGTCATGAATGATATCATTAGAAATGAAAATAATATTAAAAGAAAAAAATGGATGAGGCAACTTCATTGATATATTTATAGGTTGACCTTTAAGGTTATCGAAATTTCCGCTATCTTTGCTCTAATTTCATACATCTGTAGCTCATAGCCTCTGCTATTCGACTAACCGTCCCTGTGTGTGTATATACTTGCTTAAATATGTAAGCGGAATCAGAGGAATTAAGAAATTCCACCACAACTACAGATGAATAACCACTTGTTGGCAACGCACTGACCTTGAAATTGGTATCGCTGAAACACTTGCAGGGGCAGAGGGGTCCCTCGATGTGCAGGACGGTGTCGCCGAACGAGTTCTTTATGTTAAACTTGGGCCTCATAAAGGTGCAGACCTGCTCCACTGTGCCGATCACCTGGCCAGGTGGCGCCGACACCTCTACGGCATTCTGGCAGCTGGGGAAGCAGCAAAGGATGTCGCAACGAAATGGACGGTTCAAATGGAGCACCTCGTTCTGGAAATTGTCCAGAATCTTCATCTCAAAGGGACGCGATCGTCCAAGCATGTTCCTTGTGCAGCAGTCGCTCTCCTCGAAGGCAGAGTAGACGTTCTGCCCCAGCGAATTCTTCACCTTGAAGCGATTCTTCGTCTCGAAGCCGGTAAGTAGCTCCAGCTTCTCGATCTTCTGCGACACCAGCAGCTGGTCCAAGGCGGTCAAGTATTCGAGGCCCTGGGGGCAATTGGGCATGCCCACCGGTATCGACATCCAGTTTTCTGCAATGAGACAGGGCGTAGTTTCCGATAAGAAATTTAATATTTGTATATAAGTAAGTATGTCTTCTATAGGGTATGCATTTGATATGCAATGTTAGTTAGCATAAGTACAGTTGTGACCGGATTAGTAGGGCTTTTGATTGAAAATAATATTATTTATAATATTAATGGATTTAAAAATAAGCACGGTATTCTACACATTTTCTTATTTATATTTCAGATTAAAATTTTAAAATTAAGCTTAAACTATAAAAAATTTAATGTATTTTTAATTTTCAATTTCACTTTAAAACCTACACAAAATAAATTAAATCCTCAAAAAATGCAATACTAGAAATCCTGTTAGATTCTATTAACACATCCTCTGCTGTACTTTTGCACACGCCCAAACAAACACACACAAATGCCTGCGCCCAGTGCCGTCTGTGTGTGTGTGTGGGAATTTATCCATATAAAGTGCGGGTTAAAACCCCCGCAGAATTTTTTTCCATACGCAAGGAGAGAATACCCACCAGCTCCGTTGCCAGCCATGCCACCGGCCACCGGCTGGCGCACGACGGTGTCGTCCTGAGGCGCATCCTGGGGCACCTCCTTGTATTCCTTCATCTGCATCATTTTCGTCGATTCGCTTTGCGTCGCTAACACAATTCTAGTTGAGAATTCAACACAAACAGTAACAACAGTGTGGCCGAAGGCAGGAATATTAAATACGCCACCGTTGTGACTGACAAATACCGTTAAATGCAATTTCAGTTTCAATGAAAATGTATTAAACTTTTATGGAAAGAAGTACAAATTTGGATGAGAAAACTGTAATAATAGACGTAAATTCATATTAAATACAATCTTTAAGCATCCTGAAAATAATGCAATTAGCAATAAGACCGTACTCTCTGCAAGATGCAGCTATCGATATCGGTTAGACCGATTACACACATCGATAGCAGCTGTAGTGATAAGGGAGGCAATAAAAACGAACATTAGAGCTGTAAAAACATCGATAGTGCCCCTACTCGATGTTTTCGATAGTGATAGTCCAAACCATCGATATTTTCGATAGTATCAATCGAATTATTATTTAATTTTTTATTTTGTTATTTAAGGGTATTTGCTTTACATTTTTTAATTGCGAGGTATGAATACAGCTGTGACAAAAACCATATAATTTATTAAACTATTAAAAACACATAAAAACACAAAGGTTAAAAATTTAAAAGATTTTGACTAAAATAATAACTTATATACTTTTTTTTATTCATTAGTTAGAAAACTTAAAAATTCTCGTATGTCGTTATAAGCCATTATCGTTTGCTTTCTGATGCTAAAATCGAGAACATTAAAACTTATAATGAAATACCAAGCAATGAAATGACTAAATGAATGAATTTTATTTTTATTGATTATAATTATAAACGAAAACATGATTATAAATTAAAAACGCGATACATCGATGGTGGAAAAAAAAAATCGAGGTATCGCGCAGCCCAGCCACTATCGATAATATCGATAGTACCATCGATGTTTTTACAGCTCTAACGAACATAAAAATTTAACATGCTGCAAGGCAGCCGAATCTCAAGTGAAAATGAACGAATCTCATGATAAGACTAACAGCCCCAGCCGGGCCAGTTCCGCGGAGGAGGGCCACGACGTTAGCGACACCTTCTACACCAGTCAGCGGAAGGGGAGCCACGTATTTCGCGTCCGTTTGGACGCCACAGGATTCACGCTCCAGCGGGAGAGTCCCGGTGGAACGGTGATCAAGGAGCAGCATGTGCGGATCGGCGACATTGTCGGCGGGCGGTGTATGCGTCCCAAAAAGACGCGCCGTTTGGCCATGTCCGGTGCCTGTGCCTGCAGTTCGGGGAATCCCAACTCACCGGCGGTGTCCGCTTCCGGGGATCGCCCCGCTGCAGCCCTCAACACACCCAGTAAATGCAGTACCGCCAGCAAGGAGGATCACCTTACGGACGGCGATGTCAGCGCCTATTTATATGTCTTCGCCTATGTCCTGAAAAAGCGTAGTCTCCGCACAGAGCTACACAGGGAGCGAACGGTGCTTACGCTACGCTTTCGCTCCTTTGACACCTTCGAGGATAATATGCGGGAGGCTGACCGCTGGTATCGTGCCCTCCGCTGGCAGCTGCATCGCACCCTGGAAGAGATCTTTGTGGCACCCACGGCAGATGAACGACGTCGCCGGGTCCTAGTGCTGTTAAATCCCAAATCCGGATCGGGACGGGCTCGTGAGGTGTTCAACATGCATGTGACACCGGTGTTAAATGAGGCGGAGGTGCCCTACGATCTGTATGTGACCAAACATTCCGATTTTGCCATCGAATTCATGAGCACACGCTGCCTGGACGCCTGGTGCTGCGTGGTGGCCGTCGGCGGCGATGGACTCTTCCATGAGATCATTAATGGATTGCTGCAGCGCGAGGACTGGGCCCATGTCTTGCCCGGACTGGCACTTGGCATTATACCCTGCGGTTCTGGAAATGGACTGGCCAGGTCCATAGCCCACGGCTACAAGTAGGTCAACCGAGACTTGTTTCTGATCAGATTTCTTTCTCTACTCGAATTTCACTTGGTTAGCGAATTGAGCAGGTTTTCCCAGTTTTTCACTAGTTTTTTTCTTTCAGTTAATGTTTTTTTTTTTTAGTTTTTCCTGGAATACATAGTTAGGTAAATATTGGGTACAGTATTAATTAACATAAAAATTGGATTCAAATAAAATTTCAGGAAAATAGGGGAATGTGATAGAAGTGTATTTAACTTTTTCCCGGTTGAAATTTATTAAACTGATAACCTAATCATTATTTTATAGCATCATTTAGAACTAGAAATTGATAAGAAATTCAAGACCAAGCTATGTTACACATAAACAATTATAAAGGCTAAGAAATGTAATAATATTTTTGATTATTTAGCTTTTTCCCCTTATAACTTACTACTTTCTTTATTCCTCCCCTTTCCAGCGAACCCTACTTCAGTAAACCAGTACTAGGAGCTGCTCTCACCGTCATCAGCGGCCGCAGCTCCCCCATGGACGTGGTCCGTGTGCAGCTGCAGCAGCGCTCTGTCTACTCCTTCCTCTCCATTGGCTGGGGCCTCATCTCAGACGTGGACATCGAGAGCGAGCGCATCCGAATGCTGGGCTACCAGCGCTTCACCGTCTGGACCCTGTACCGTCTGGTGAACCTGCGCACCTACAACGGACGAATTAGCTATCTGCTCACAGAGCAGGAGGATTCCCCTGTGCCGGGTTATGCCAATCAGCGGCATAGGATGCAGGGCAGTCGAAGCTGCAACACACACATCGACAAGCTGGCACCGAGCTTACATCACTCCAGTAGCGAGTACCTGCCGCAGGAGTTTGCCGACGTGATCTCGCTGGAAACGTCCATTAATCAGTCGTTCCGGTCACGCTGCGACAGCTGGCTGTCGGGGGGATCGAGGCGTAGCTTTTACTATTCCATATCGGAGAGCATCTACCATAGTTTGGCGGACGACAGCGAATTTAATGGACAGGCGGCTGCCTCGCTGGAGAATCGCCAGCAGAACTTTGGGCCGGCGAGTGAGCTGCCGGATCTGGATGAACCACTGCCCCAGGATCAGGGCTGGCAGGTGGAGGAGGGCGAGTTCGTCATGATGCATGCCGTCTACCAGACGCATCTGGGCATCGACTGTCACTTTGCGCCCAAGGCCCAGATGAACGATGGCACCATTTTCCTCATTCTCATTCGCGGCGGCATCAGCCGGCCGCATCTGCTGAGCTTCCTTTACAACATGAGCTCCGGCACCCACCTGCCGGAGGTGAACAACGAGTACGTAAAGGTGCTTAAGGTGCGAGCCTTTCGCCTGGAGCCGCATGACAATCAGGGCATCATTACTGTAGACGGGGAGCGGGTGGAGTTTGGACCACTGCAGGCCGAGGTCCTGCCGGGCATAGCCCGTGTCATGGTGCCCAAGTAGTAGCCGGAGGAGGCGGATGACGACCACTAAGCAATAGTTAACTCAATATAAGAATCTCTGCATTTGTATCTGTAGCTAATACTTAGGGCCTAGAGTTGTGCATTCTTCTAATTGTTTTTTGTGGTGGAGTTCTTGCTTCTGCCAATCGAATCGTGTATTGTTAACATTTTAAAATCTAACTCCAGTTATGAACGAAATATAAACGTGTATATAAGCGAATGTTAATTATTTATTCTTGGAAATAGTAATTTAAATAAAATTAAATTTAAATTCAACTGTCAAGAGCTTTAACGGTATATTTCTAGTATTTAGCTTGTGGTATACGTTTGGTATGTTGGGCCAAACTTCTCAACGGTCACACTGGTCGGAAAAGTGAAGAAAAGAAAAAACAAAACAGGCTGCGAAAAAAACATTTCGAACGCAAATTAATTGCCGAGCTAGCATTTAACAGCAGTGTCAGCGCATTCCTTCCTCAAATCCAGGCTCCCGACTGAGGATAGATACAAATTAAGCCATTAAAAATCGTGTCAAGCGCTGCAATATGTCGTCCGAGGAGCTGGCGCCAATCAACGAGCAGGACCTCAAGGATCTGAAGGAGCGCATGAAATTGATTGTCGACGCTGATCCAAAGCAGTATCAAAATGAGTTTTCGCTACGCCGCTATCTGCGCGCCTTCAAGACCACGGATGACGCATTCCAGGTGAGCCGCCAATCTATCCTAATTTGGAAATGTATAAAAAATTATTAAAGCCCCGACAATGAGGTACCCGGTGGGTAAAATTGCTAACTAACAGATGTTTTATCTACCAGAAAATGCGTTGTGAGCTTAATTTTGCATTCCAAGTCATTAAATTTAGTTTGAGTTATGCTTAATTCATAAAATAATATAGAAATATTTACAATTTTCCTAATAAATTTACTCATACTAAGGGAACAGATTAAATTTTAATGCATAATTTTAATGAAAAGTCTAAAAATAGTCTGCATTCCAAATTTCATAACATTAGCTGTACCAGTTTCCAAGATCTCATAGGTTGACTCAGCTAATGAGGCTTATCGGGAGCTTTGAATGCCTGTACAGGGTAGGGAAAAATGTATATTTTTATTCGAATTTTATGTATATGTATGAAAATTGGTTATTTAGTCTAATTACACCCCACTAAAACCATATTTTTAGGGTAAAAGTTCAGAGTATCTTACTTTTAATATTCCTTTTAATAAGAAACAATAATTTATAAACATAATTACCAGCAAGTAAAGTTGCTTTATAACGTTTTCCATATCTAAAGAGATTTTTAAGAGCCTAATATGTATTTTTGCTCCTTTAAAACATCGACTGATATCTCATCTTTTCCCCCCAGGCCATCCTAAAGACCAACAAATGGCGCGAGTCTTATGGCGTGGATAAGCTGGTCGATATGGATCGCAGCCACATGGAGAAGAAGGCTCGAGTCCTGCGCCACCGCGACTGCATCGGTCGTCCTGTCATCTATATTCCGGCCAAGAATCACAGCTCGGAGCGGGACATAGACGAGCTGACCCGCTTCATTGTGTACAACCTTGAGGAGGCCTGCAAGAAGTGCTTCGAGGAGGTGACCGATCGCCTGTGCATCGTCTTCGATCTGGCCGAGTTCAGCACCAGCTGCATGGACTACCAGCTGGTTCAGAATCTCATCTGGCTGCTGGGCAAGCACTTCCCAGAGCGTCTGGGCGTCTGCTTGATTATCAACTCGCCGACACTGTTCTCCACCGTTTGGCCGGCCATTCGTGTCCTGTTGGACGATAATACCGCCAAGAAGGTCAAGTTTGTGGCTGATGAGGTGGAGCTGTGCCAGTACCTTATCCCAGACATCCTGCCGACGGATATGTAAGGCATGGACCAAGGATCAGGCGTCACTTAGTCTTAGACATATCTTCAAAAAAAAAAAAGAAAACAAATACGACCCGAATCCAGTACCGAAGACACGCAGCTTCTGAGAGAGCTTCTAACCCCAGTACAGTACTCGTCATATGTGTAAATCGATGTGTTAAACAAGTTGATTGTAAAATGTATTTTATTGGACACAACACTATTAGTACAATGGCAAACTATTTTAGATAAAGGTTTTTCTTGTTTACGGCAAGTGTCTAGAATCTACTATATACCTGAATTCGTACCTATATACTACTATATATATATATATATATATATATTTATGTATATGCAAGTGTCTATGTGTACAGCAAATAAAGTTGTCAAAGAAAAGCTTTGAAGATTAAGGGCGATGAGGCATGGCACACGTGAATAATCATCACCTGTGTGTGAGACCGGGTCGATAGTGCTCTAATTTTAGCTGGCTTATCATTATCAGTATGTTTGTGATAAGAATCATAACGGCCTCTGGCTGGCATGTTGTTATTTTTTGCTGTTTTCAAATTCTGCACCGATTAGGGTTGTCGCTGCGATAGCAATCGTTGGTGTGTTTATCAACACTGTTTTGGGCTTTGCATTTTGTCTCTTTTATAGCTAAATTAAAATAAGAAATAAATACATTAAAAATAAGATTTCTGCTTCAAAATGTAAACATTATTTATCTAACTTTCGCTTAAATAATTATTTAAATTTTGAATCATAATATAAACTAATTTTCATTTACATAAATAACATTTTATTTTGAAGCAGAAATCTTGTTTAAAAAATGTAATTTGATATTACTAAATACTAAAATAATTATTATTTTAACGATTGCTTAAGAAAGCTAAACATTTGCCTGGAAACGGAAAGAAAATTATAATAATAATAATGACATATATTTCAAACATTGAACAGAAGATGGGTATCAATTTTTAATATTTGTGTTTATTTTTATTTATTACTTTATATATTTTCTTCATAAATAAAATATATTTTCTTCAGTGTAGCCCCACTAGATCCCGCCAGATTCTAGCTACTTTCAAGCTAACCATACCGAGGCTCCCTCGCGAACAGGCGACAACCCTGGCGCCCAACTGGTTATCATCTGGACACAAAACACAAAAACAAAAGTCGAGCACTTCTTGATAAGGAAATCTGAATCGCGCACTATGAGACGTCGAAGCAATAACAATAACAATAACAGTTGCAATAACACCAGCAGCGAAATGGATAAGTCGATCCGCTCGACGTTCTCGTTGAAGAATCAGTGATCGACGAGGCGTGCGCTGCGAAACATGTCGTCGGCGCCTACAGAAGCAACTGCCGCTCGAAAGGAGGCCCAGGATGTGGGGGCAGCAGTTTCGGCGCCTTACAAGGAGGCCAAAGGTGGCGAAGGAAGAGCCTTTATTGCCGCCCTGGACGTTGGCACCACCTGTGTGCGCTGCTTCATTCTGGACGAAGGCTGTGTGGTGCGGGGTTCAGCAGTGGATGCTGTAAGTGGTGCTTCGCTCGCTCAACCAGCGGGTGCAAAGTTAATTGGCTAAATAACTTTAAACGTTTTGTGACCTTTGTTGTAATTATAGGTGAAGCTGCTGAATCCACAGCCTGGCTTTTTTGAGATCGAGCCAGAGAGCTTGTGGCGCAAGATCGTCAATGTGATAAGGCAGGCGGTGAAGGGTGAGTGTGCGGGGGGTGGCTTGGGAGGGAACCCATTAAAAAGCGTGAGCTGGGAGTTAATTTAAAATTTAATTAGTTTTTTAAGAAGCAAGGGGGATGAACAGAAATAAAACTAAACAAAGGAATGTTTTTGTAGGGAAGTGTTTTAAGGTAGGAAATGGTTTTAGCTTGAGTTATTAATAAACTTACCAGTATATTTATAATATATTCTATTTAAAAACTTCATCAAAACTACTAAATTACTTTTTTTTAGTAGCTTTACCAACAAAGTAATGATATTAGCTATATTATTTGTCATTAAAATTTAAAAAACAAACCCTTCTTTTTACAGCTGCCAAACTAACCCCCGCCGACATCACCTGCCTCACCATCTCCACGCAGCGCTGCACTTTTCTCACCTGGGATCATCGCACTGGCGATTACTATCACAATTTTATTACCTGGAAAGACCTGCGTGCCGACAAACTCGTAGATGATTGGAACTCCAGTTGGACGAAGCGTTCGATGAATGGTTTTTCCTATGCCCTGTACTTGCTCACGCGCCAATCGCGTTTCCTGGCCGGCAGTGTGCTCAAGCTGATGAATGGCCAGGTGACGCCCAGGTTGCTCTACGAGATTAAGCACAACAAAAGACTGCGAGAGGCTTTAAGCAAGAAAAGAGCTCGCGTGGAGCTACTAGACTCCTGGATACTGCACAAGCTAAGAGTGGGCAATGGGCAGGACAAGGATGTAGATGTAGAGCACATAACCGATGTTACCTCCAGTACGGCAACGGGATTGTATGATCCCTTCACGCTCACCTGGTCGCCGCTGATAAGTTGGCTTTTTGGAATCGATGTAAGTGAGGAATTTTTTAACATTTTGTATCTCTTGTACTTTATTTTTATTTTATATTAGACCAAAATCCTGCCTCGTGTAGTGGACAATGGCTACAAGGGCTTTGGTCACGTCCATCCCACTGCTTTTGGTCCCGAGTGGGCCGACACTAAGATACCCATAGCTGCCTCACTTAGTGACCAAACGGCTGCCATGTGGGGTTCGCAATGTTTCAAAAAGAACGATGTCAAGGTCACCATGGGTACTGGAGCCTTTCTCAATCTGGTGACGGGTCCCAAGTGCCATGCTGCCATCACTGGGATGTATCCATTAGTGGCCTGGCAGGCTCGCCATGAGAAGGCCATTTACTGCATCGAGGGTGCTTCACATGATTTTGGCACCGTGGTCACCTGGGCGCAGTCCTGTGAGCTCTTCGAGAATCCAGCGGACACGGCGGCCATAGCAGAGTCTGTTGCTGATACCAGCGATGTGTTCTTTATGCCTGCCTTCAGTGGTTTGGGGGTGAGTTTCAACTAGTTTTAAGTTTAGAGATTACAGCTAATCCACCTCTAACTTATCTTTCGACAGCCCCCAGTGAATGATTATCGATCAGCAAGTGGATTCATTGGCCTTACACCGTCCACAACCAAGGCGCATATGGTGAGGGCCTTGCTGGAGAGTATTGTATTTCGTTTGGTCCAACTGATAGAGGCGGCGGAACAGGAGACCTCTCAGCAGCTTGAGATGATAAGGTAAGGTTTCTTGGAAAATTGAAATAGAATTGATATTAATATTTCTCTTCTTACAGAGTTGATGGTGGTGTTTCTCGCAATGATTTTGTTTGCCAGTTCCTAGCCGATCTCAGCCAGCTGAGAGTGGAGCGGGCTGAGAATGCCGAGAGCAGCATTATGGGTGCCACCTTTATGGCAGGCCTCAACCATGGCATCTGGCGTAATGTAGAGGATCTCAAGTGTTTCCGACAGGTGGAGCGTGTCTTCGAGCCGCGACCCAAGGAGCACCCAAAGATAGTGGCCCGCATGGACAAGTGGAGTAGGGCCATAGCCCGCTTCAGCGACTGGTACTAGGTTTCATACTTTCCCTTATATTTTTTCTTGTTTGTTAAAAGCTAAAAAGTCATTAAATACTTAGAAGGCTAAGGTAATTCGGAGTGGTGGATAGAAATGCTGCCTTATTCAGTCTTTGCTTAGTTGAAGCGTTGCTGGAAATTCTGTTGCTGATTGAACATCATTTGTTGTTGTTGCTGCTGCTGCTGTTGTTGTTGCTGCTGCTGTTGTTGTTGCTGCTGCTGCTGAGCCTGCTGCTGGTGATGGAAGTCCTGCTGCTGACCAGCACCAGACAACCTAACACGCTTGGCATTTGGTTCAGAGTTCATTTGCTGCTGCTGCTGCTGTTGTTGCTGCTGTTGTTGTTGTTGTTGCTGCTGCTGCTGTTGTTGTTGCTGCTGCTGCTGCCGCTTGTTGTCCGACTTGTCCTCCTGGTCATCATCAGTAAGGAACTCACGCTTGGGATAGGGTATGGGGCAGCCAGCAAACACATCCTGCGTTGGCAGCGGCTCCTCCTGGAAGTACTGATCCTGCATTGCCTGCTCAGAGGTAATACGCTTGTTGGGATCCATCAGCAGTAGCTTTTGCAAAAGATGAAAAGCCTTGCTGTCCGGCTTGATTTTATGACGCTCCATATACTTGGCCAGCGAGCAGGTGGAGTAGGTTGAGCGCTTAAAGTCCTTGGTCAGCGTGTGATGCTCCGGCATCTTCTTGATGTCCTCCCAGTCCTTGTCCTGCGGAAAGCCCATCACATTGAAGATGCGATCCAGCTGGTCGTGATGATACGGATTACTCGTCTTGATGTCCTCCTGCCGGCAGTGGAATATCGGCTCCGAGGTGAGCAGCTCGGCAAAGATGCAACCAATAGCCCAGATATCGATGGCCTTGGTGTAGTGGCGAGCGCCCAGCAGTAGCTCCGGGGCGCGATACCAAAATGTGACCACCACGGGATCCAGATCCGCCAGCGGTTTCAGTGGAGCATTAAACAGACGTGCAAAACCCATATCGGCGATCTTAACACGTCCGCGTTCATTACCATCCCCCATCACCAAAATATTGGCTGGCTTCAAATCACGGTGCAGAACCCAGTTGCTGTGCAGATAGTGAATGCCATCAAGGATTTGGTAGAGCAGACTCTTCACCATGCCGCGCGGCACCACCACCTGCTTCTTGGTGGCCTTTGCCGCCCGATGGAACTTGATGATGTGCCACAGGTCATGCTCCGCGTAGTCAATCAGCAAGAACACCTTGCGGTCGTTGTGCGAGAGGAAAACCCGGATGAGTGTGATTACATTCTGGTGCTTTAGTTCGCGCAGCAGTGCAATCTCGCGACAGGCGGACATGGACAGTCCGGTGCCATCGATCTGCTTTAACGCATACTCTTTACCATCGCTGTGGGTTTGGGAAAAACGTTAATGCTTAGGTTTCATGGCCAGATGCTGCGACTCACCTCGTCTCCTTCCACTTGGCCTTGTATACGTGGCCGTAGGTGCCGCGTCCCACCTTGCAGCCCTCGTAGTTGAACAGGTCCTCCACCTTGGTCCTCTCCATCTGCGTTTTCATCTTAAAATCGTAGTCCATTTTGTATGAAATTCGCAAATTTCCAAAGTTTGTTTATAAATTTTGCTGCCGCCAGTCAGCTGTCTGCCGATAACAAAGCGATAGCACCGGTGATAGTGATGGTCCAGTATTAATTTAGCTATTTTACCCACTAGATTTCTTGCTATCGTTTTTACGTGTATAATAATAATAAAAATAAATTGTTAGGGGGAAATTTTAGAGACTTTTTAAATTGGATAAACTTCGCTTAAAATATGTTTAATTTAATTTGTTTAAAAATGAAAATTGTATTGGTTTGAGTCTTCGATAGAGTGTCTATTATCGATTACAGATAATCAACCAATTACCGATTTTTAATCGCTGTTTCACCATCTCTTGCAAGTTGGCAAAGTTTTCGAAATAATTTTCAATTTTTTGTAAAAAGAAAATATGGAATTAGATCTCACGCCAGCCGAGCTGATAACCTGCGATATATGCGGGAGAACAACCCTTGATAATGAAGAGGAGAACTTGATGTTTGGCGAGTGGATGCGGCGCATGCAGCTGAAAGTGCACTACTTTTGCCTGGTGAGTACCAAACATAGATGTCACCAAAAATAATACACAAAACGTACTCTTCCTTGTTTCCTTTGCCTTGGGGCAGCTGCTGTCCACCAACCTGCCTCAGCGGGGCAGCGATACCAGCGGAATAATGGGCTTCCTGGTGCGTGACATTCGCAAGGAGGCGGCCGAAGCCCGAAAAAGGAAGTGCGTCTACTGTCTAAAACCAGGGGCCGCCATCAAGTGCATCACGTGCGGCCAGTACTTCGATCTGGTCTGCAGCGTCGAAAATCACTGCACGACGCAGTTCTGCCATCAGTTCCACAGCTACTGCAGAGACTGTACGCCCATGGACGAATACATGCAGCAGTTGGCAGTCAAGCCACCGAAGGACGTCATTTGCGACATCTGCTTGCTGCGAATCTCGAAGTTCGGGCCCCATCACATTGTCTACCCGGAGTGCTGTCGCCTGGGCTTTGTCCACAGGGTGTGCATGCGGAGGTACGCCTTTTCCTCGGGCTACTATCTCACCTGCATGTGGTGTCGCTCGAATAAGTTCCGGGAAACCATACGAATGCAGGGCATCTTTGTCCCTGACCGCGATGCGGTGTGGGAACGTCAGAAGAACGCCTACCGGGAGCTGCATATGCGAATCCTACGCTGCGACGAGAAGGAGTGTCTGTGCAGCAAAGGAAGGAATTACAACCAAAACGCCTGGTGTATAAACGCCTGCCAGGTGTGTGGCTCCACAGGAGCTCATGCCAGATGCTTAGCGCACTCGATGCACCTACGTATGGGAATGGAACCCATGAAGTTCACGTGCAACGGCTGCAAGGAAGTGGAGAAGAAACTAAAATCAAAAGTCAGAACCCCAATTGCAAAGAATAAGGGGGATCAAGTCGACACCTCTTTCTTCATGACCAAGGAGGGACCAAAGCTGCCCACCTCGGCTGGCAACACCGAATCCGAGGGTCCCTTGTTCTCCGATGATGAGTCAGATTTAAGCTCAAATGAGAGCGTTGTCACAGTGGTTCCCAACAGTCACCAAACCACGTCAAGCTTTATTGCACCCAGCAATGCTTCCAAGAGCTCTATAGCGTCGCCACCGCAGGCGGCGGCAGCGATTGACCTTACAGAGGAAGATCCGGTGCCTGAGAAACTTTTGGCCTTGCGCGAATCCTTCAACTGTCCGGGCGAACCCTTCTTTTATCTGGTGATCTACGAGTTCGATGAGCAGGGCACGTGCAAGGGTTCCTGCACGCTGCGCTTCGATGAGAAGGATCCTAGGATCCAGGATCGCTCGGAAGAAGCCTTGAGGCGACTTCAATTTCGGCCAGAGGATGTTTGGTTCCGCAACAAGGACTGCGGTATATATGCCATAGTTCACAAATATCAAGACAAGCCTTTAAAACAATTATTATTGTGAATGGTTGAATCTGAAAAAAATTATTATATTATAATTATTAATTTTATCTGCAAACGAACCAGTCTGAGACCTATTAAGTTTTGAAGTACTTTTATGGATTTAAGAAAGAACAAGAATTTAAAAAAATAATAAACAGTGATGAAACTTATGTGAATTCTTCCTGAAACGTTTGGTATTAGGGTAAGCCTTAACATTAATAATAAATAATAATATATATTATTAGTTTATATATAAAAGGTTTAATTTTAATTTTACAATAATTTTAATTTTTAATTTTATTAGATTACGGTTTTATTTTATTTGCAAGAAATGTAACCCTTTTCAATTCATTTAACAGAAAAATTAATAAAACTTTTGTTCTTTTTTTTGGAAAGAGAAAGTTCGATTCTGTACCCAGTATTTCTTATTTTATACCTAAAAGACTTCTTAAAAAAAACCTAACTAAATGTAAAATTAAAGAATACAAAAAATACATTATTTTTTGTTCTTGCATATTTTTTATATTTATTTTTAAACTTTTATTTACCAACACAATACTTTGGCTTTCTTGAGCTTTCATGAAAAGCTTTATTCACAAAGAGTTGGCAGCACCCAGCACGTAAGAGCAAGCTCATAACAGTGGTGTCATTCCCGTCAAATTAAGCTTATTATTAAGTGAAATTAATTTTTTAGAAAATTAAAGCAGACTTCTAATGAATTTTCGTTTCTTGACGAAATATCGATCCACTGTATATATGTCAATCTTTTAAAAAAGCCGCTCAGTTTAAGATATTGCAATTTAGCTTTGTTTTTATTCGTCATTATTTAAGTTTGAAAATAAAACTTTTTTGTAAATAAGCTTTTTTCCATATGAATTTGGCTTTTTTAGCTGCTTTGTTTGGGTAATCTAGCTTTTTTGCTCTGAAAAAAGTGACATCACTGGTTCGTAAGTAAGATTTTGGTTCGTTGCGCGTTCGCACATGCGCGCGCGCACAGTATATATTCCGATCGCGGCCGTCTTCTCCATTTCCCTCTCGCGCTAATCAGTTGGATCTGCGTACTTTGCGGCTAATTTTCAACTCAAAGAAGTGAAAAAAAAACAACGAAATCAAGCAAATAATTGAGTAATTAAAGTTAAATGTAAGAAAGAAGTGCCTTGTGTTTTTGTGTAACGGTCAGCCAAATGGTTTTGGAGCCAAGAAATTAAGTGATTGCGGCAAAAGTGTTCCACTAAATTGATAATGGCATAGTTTTGAAAGCCTAAGAGCATTTGGGATGCGATTAACTGACCGATTTGAGATTTAATGCGACAGGCAGGAAGCAAATATCGAAAAGTCATTCAAGTGGCTGGTATTAGCTTGCAATATTTTCCACCAGCGGAAAAGAAAGTTTGATTTAGGAGAATCGGAAAGAGATAACACCTAAAGAAATTAAGCGGGATATTAATTGGAGTGGTTTTTATTAAAGAGATTTTATTTTGTTAAGAAAAGAGAAATGATAATTAAATAAAAAATAAATATAAATGATAATAAACTGAAGAACTTTGCTAAATAAATAACAGTAAACATTCGGAAGGTCTGAAAACTCATTTTAAAATTTCAAGCTTCGGCTTTCCAAAGTAGTGATCTTTCGCCACATATTGAAATACAGATGATCTCACTGGATTATCACATATTTATTAGCATCAAATGACATCAACTAAAAAGGAAAATTCAATTGTTGATTCAACCAATATTAATAACGACATTTACCTAATATTTAAATATTTCCCCAAATAATGAACAAATCACAGTTCTCTTCAGTTGAACTCCTAGAAATAAAAGAAATTTATAATTAACATGTACAAATGTATATAAAAAATAAATTATTAATGAAATATTTTCAATAGAATAATATAATCCACTTTTCTTTGTTTATAATTTTCTTGTTAATATTTAAACTCTCTAATTTTTCAACCCATCTTTGTATACTTAAATATTATTACTACCGAGGAATAACAATAAAATAACAACAAAATTACCGGAAGTCTAAATTAGTTAATTAATTTACTTTCAGAGGATATCAATAGACCCTCTCTATCTGTAAAAATTTCATTGAACTTTTACATTCAATAAAAAAAACCAGTGGCATCCAAAATAAAAAATAAACCTAAGAAAAAATCCAATCAACACCAGTTGCGACTAGTTACCCGTTGCAAAAATTGGCAACTTCCTTCAATTGGGCGCCAAGTCATTAGCTGCCCCCCCCCCCCAACTCCTTACCTCCCCGTTTACCCCTTACCCCTTGGGAGCCCACTCGAAGTACCGCTATGACTAGACAGGCCTTGTCCACATATTTCTTTATTTTTTTTTTTTTTTTTTTTTTTATTCGTATGCAACCATTAGCCGCCGCATCAACAAACGAGACGCCACACACACACTACTAGTAAATCTTAGGAGACACACACAGATACACGCAGGTGGATCGCGGGGGTAGAGGTGAAGGGGAAGGGACCTGGTGACGTTTGCTCTGGGGCCCCTTCACTTTTTGTTGTTGCACTGCAAGAAATAATATTAATATACCTATGTACTTTCTTCGTGTATTAGTAAGCACTTCCTTAAAGTCCAGTTAAGGTGGCAGTTACTTAACTGTCGGTTTAATTTAACGAATAGTTAGCTAATATTGGTGCTTTCTTCGTCTTTTTTATCTATTTTAACTTTCTGAAAGAGCTTTTGATTTATTTAAATGACAATTATTTGTCCCATAAATATTAATAGGAAATTAAGAAACAGGAAAATATATTCTTTATCTTCGATTATCATACTTTTACTGATAAAGAAAGTTTATTTAAAGTTCTTGTTAATTAATTTTAAAAATATTCGATTCGATAAAGCTTACTTTTGACAGGACATTAAAAAAGTGAACCCTGAAAACCTAAAAAACCCGTATTCTTTTATTTTAGAATGCATTTAATACCCCAATTAATTATAAAAGCCTTGTGTGATTTGTCTCAGTGTTCTCTTCGTCTTTTTGTTTCGTGGTTGGATGAAAAAGTTGCCGCAGCAAGTGCAATTCGCGATTCGCATTCCGCTGGCCGAAAGTATCTTTGGAGTTTTGCATCTTGTGGATGTCTGCCGCGCTTAACTGTAAATTGAGGCATGTGCCTCTCGCTCCCTCTCCTTCCATCTTTCTCTCAGTCTCAGTCTCAGTCTCCGTGCTCTGAGAGCTCTCTTTTGTTTGTCAAGTTCAATGTGCGTTGACAATTTTCCCCATTTCCCAATCCCAAATGGGCGACGTTTTCCACATTGATTGTGTGTGTGTGTGTGTGCGTACTTCTTGCACTTGGTGCCTCCTCATTGTGCTTGTGCAACTGTGCGTGTATTTTAATTTATTTTAAATCGAACGGCAATTTAAATTTAAAGCTAAAGGTAGTCAGTGGTTCAACCCGGAACTTGTAGAGTGTGTGGATTTTAGTTTTTCTGCTTTTCAGGCAATGTATCTATGTATCTAAGTATCTACGTATCACCATCTCGCCGTCTCGAACGCTAACGCAAACGCAATGCATAAATCAGCCAAAGGAAAGAAAGAAGAAAAATCTTTGCCTCGTTTTTTGTTAGTTTTTGTGAAAGCGCAAGTCGTTTTGGCTCTTTCTGTGTGTAGCGTAATTTTTACACTTTTACCAAAGAGAAAGAAAACTGAAAGATACATAGATACTGTATCTTTACATACGGCAATGCTGCTGCTCATAAGCATCTTTTCTCTATTACCAACCCCGACATACACGATTCCATTCGTTGTTGTTTGTCTTTAAGCCGCTTAATTGAAAGTCTCGATTTGACTTATGACTTTGAAGAGGAGCTAAAAATATATATACAAATGTATAAAAAAAGAAGAGGCTTTCCCAGAGAAACGATGAACAAATTGAAGTTACATTTTATTGATATGAGAGGAGGCTCTTGAGCTTTCAAAACAAGCCAATTTCAAACCAAAGTTTTCAACAGTTTCTTCTAGTGCAATAAATCATAAATAAATTCAACTAAAACATAACTAAAGTGTATAAAAAATATGCAAGAAAAGCTTATAAAAAGTGCCTAAGCAAATGTTTTTATTTGCCAATCAAAGTGCATGTGCTCAAAAATCAACAATCCGACAATCAGAATAAATCGACTACAGACAAGCCGCTAAATAAGGTAAGCTCCAAGAAAATTAATTTTAATAATCTTTGCCCAGTTTAGTCTTTATTTATATCTATATTTTTTTTTGCATATCCATTTGTTAACTCGTTTGCGATGTCTATTAACGGCATTCAACGCTCCGGGCTGTGAGCTCATCTCGCAACTCAATGATATTCATTCTGATCTGAGACCGAAAACTTGTTCGCTTGCTGATTCACATTTTTCACAGCTCCGTTTTTTTTTTGCCCTGTTTATTTACAGTTTACAGTTGTGCGATATTGTTTGACTTTGCATATCTTGACAGGCACATTCAAATATTTAATCAGTTAACTGTCTCGGTTTGCTTTCCAAATCGCTGCACATCTTTACCCACCCGCACCTGTCGTGTTGTCAGCCCCAATGTCAAGGTTGCCTTTGTTATCGTTGTCTTGGTTTGCTTGGCTAAACAAATCTGAGGTTCAGAGTTAAATACCAACAAAAAATAAACAAATAAAAGATAAAATAAATTTTAAAAATGCCCAAGTAGCCGGCTTATTGCCAATTGTCTGCTGCTAATTGAAGCTCAACACTTCTCAAGTGGAACGAACGCCCCGTCGTTGTATCTCTCTTTTATTTTATTGTATAATTTGTAATTGCTTCATTTTTCGGACAAGCCATAAGAGATATTTTACAAAAATAAATTAAGTGTGGCGAGCAATTAGTTGAGTCTTAAGCTGGCTATTTACAAAACGTAGGCAGATGAATGGCCGTCGAAGACGATGGGAACGTGCTCTGAGATCTTGGCAGGTAATGAAGATTTTTTAAAGATTATACACTCCTGCCCACAATTATACGACACCCCGAAAACTTTAGTTTCGACCCTCGTAGGAATGTCGGGAAGCATATTACAACAAATTCAAGTATGCTGAATTAAAGCTTAATGAATTATGCTTAAAATATGATTTTTTTATCTCTGATTGGACCACCCGTTTTTAAATAGCGTTAAAAAAAGCAGAAAAGCCCGATTTTTGCCATGCCTGAAACTGTATCATAGCTATACGACACATGTCAATTTTAACGGCTAGAGGTAATTATTTGGATTCAAATAATTTTTTTTATGTTTCTGGTAACATTTTAATGATTTGGAAATAAAATGCCAAGTGGATGTTTGTTATCCGACGAAAAAAAGGGAAGAATAAGGGCTTACAACGATGCTGGCTTTAATGTAAGCGAAATATCGCAGAAAATGTATCAAATACGTTGTTTTATCGCAAGTTTTTTTTAAATTCGGATTAATATGGAGTGAAGCAAAGCTCTGGAAGGATCCCAAGTTGCCCGACCGCCATGAACGTCGCATAATTCTTAGATTTAGCTATTCGATTGCTTGGAGCGCCACACTTGCCGCTAGTTGCAGTCAGCCTGTGTCACGAATGACTGTCTGGCGGACACTGAAATCATCGTAGTACATAGTCAGAGTAGTCTTAAAGACGGCTCCATTCTTAAAAATGAGCTACAAAACAGAACAACTTAAATTTTTAGGAAAAAGTCTTGGAGACACTGGCCTCAGTATGACATTTTAACTTATTTTTGATTATACAGTTTTTTTTCAATATTTTTTAGGTAGATAATTTTTTCTGACGAAAAAAATGTTTATCTTGACGGCCCAGATTGGTTTTGACACTATTGGACAGATTTACATGAGGTTAAACTTATTTTTTCAAAACGCTGTTTTGGGGGAGCCTTTCATGCGTCTTAAGCGCTTGATCTGTGCTTCCCAGATCCAAGATGAATAGTGGAGAATACAAAAAAGTATTTCATGATCGTCTTCTAACATTTTTGGAACAACATATGGAAAAATATCATGTTTTTATGCAGGATTCACCAAGTTAGAGAGACCCAGCGCTTCATAAATAATCACAATATAAGAGTTTTGGGTTGGCCACCGTGCTCCCCTGGCTTGAATTTAATTTAAAACATTTAGTTTACTTAAGTCAGGCGAGCTTAGGCCAATAACAAGAAATTTTAGAGTGTCAAGACCCTTAAAAGTGATATTTTGGGTCAAAAGTTTCCATTACACCAATATTTACCAAAAAAGTTTGTTAATTCAATGCCTAAGAGACTTTTTGAGGTTGCCAAGGCTTAAAGTGGCTCTATTAATCATTAAACAATTTTTTATATACCATTAAAATTATAAAATATTAAGTAAATCGAAAAAATTGACATGTGTCGTATAGCTATGATACAGTTTCAGGCATGGCAAAAATCGGGCTTTTCTGCTTTTTTTAACGCTATTTAAAAACGGGTGGTCCAATCAGAGATAAAAAAATCATATTTTAAGCATAATTCATTAAGATTTAATTCTGCATACTTGAATTTGTTGTAATATGCTTCCCGACTTTCCTACGAGGGTCGAAACTAAAGTTTTCGGGGTGTCGTATAATTGTGGGCAGGAGTGTAGCAGGTATATAAGAGAAAATTATCTGCCTTTTTACGTGATTTAATTTGATGAGTTTCCGTGTAAATATAGGAAAATATCTCACCATGTTGAGTTGGAAATATTTAAATCTTGAAAATAAGAGTATGACATTTTTATAGGTTTTTTTGTTAGTTTAAAATTAAATTTAAATTGAAATACTCTTAAAATAAATTAAATGAAATATTTTTAATATTCCTTTTAAAAATAAAATCAAGAAAAATATTTCTTCAAAATAAAATAAAAGAAAATACACATTTTCAAGCAAATTTTAAATATAAACATATTTTGTAAAGTCTCTTTCCCATATTTTATTCTTCTTTTTTGATTAATTGTCCTGCTAACATTTAACTATTTGTAGGAAAAATTAAAATTTAATAATCTGCTAATATCTACATTTTTTTTTTAAGATTTAAATATAATAATTAACTTAAAAGCATCACCATTTTTCAAGGTTATGATTAAGTATCCATAATTGTGTCAAATGCATCTATCAACATCTGTTGGAACCGCCAGACTTTAACATATTATTAACCATATAAATATCTACGAAATTGTTGGTCAATTAATAAGCCATTAGGGCAAAATCTTTAGTTCCAGCCTAGAGCAAAAAAAAAAATAGAAGGCTATAGCTAGCGTTTATCAATACCGTTTGCTATTCTTTTGGGTTTTCTTTCTTTTTTTCTAAGAATTTTTGCCCCAGACCCGAGATGAGAAACCGTTAAGCATTTCACCTAGAGCAAGTCACAGAGAAAAGAAAGAGAAAAAAAAACTATCATAAATTTGACTTTTTAATGTTAATAAAACATTTTTACGAGTCTTTTATGTGTGAAAATTACGCAGAAGGGCATCAAAAATAAACGAGACCACGAGCTGCAGAACAGTTAGCCAGCTGCTGGCAGGTGTAAAAGCCAAGTTAATATAATACGTAATTACAGCAACCTCAGACGAACCTACAGCACACACATACCTTACATTTTTGCTTCAACTCTCTACTGGGAGTTCCCTTCCTAAAGAACACAGACAGAAATCAGTACTTGAAAGTATTTAAATAAAAGTGTAAAAGGAACATAAAAATTACTTTCTGAAAAGCTAACAGTATAACAATATTTTCTGAGTGCATCTTTTACCTCTGGATCATGACTTGGAGAAATGTGTGACTTTGGTGTGAGGTGACACCGCCGGAGAAAGAGAGAAACTAAACCGAAACTACTGAATAACAAGTGTAGAACAATAAGACGCAAGACGGTAGAAAACTGGCCAAGTAGCTGGAACGCCAACAGCAGGTCACTGAACTTGGCCGGACGACGGACGCTTCAAATATATATTTTACACCAAGGCATTAACAAAAGCAAGTCCCCCTTTTCAGAGCCATGATAGAGCGGTATTAAGTTGGCCAGTCTTGTGTATATAGTTCTTTTTCTTTTGTTTCCCGTCAAAGGCTTTTATTTATGTTGGCCAAAAAGTAATGCTTGGTAGATCATAAAACTTGCTAATATGGGTAATTTTAGGTAGTTTTTATTTCCATTTTGCGTATTTTTGTTTATTATGTCACATGCCTACTTGTGGGTGTGAATTGGGGAACCTGTTCTGGAGATGAGTCAGTTTATGATTTTTTTATATTTATTATAAAAAAGAATGGATTTCAGTTTGACTAAATATTTTTTAGATATTTATTGTGCCAAGGAAGCAAGGCTTTTAATTTTATTTTTTAATTAGAAAATGTTTTGTTTACTTATAAGTTTTAATAAGGAATTTATTAATGTTTATTTTAAAGCAATAAATATTAAAAAAATTCTCATTAAAACAACAGAATTAATAATAAATATTTTAAAAAAGGTTTTCCTTATATTTATTTTATCAATGCTTCCACGAAAAGAAAATTTCTCTCTTTCAAAAATTCAATCAGTAAAATTTTGTAAGTTTTTAAGCTCCCAGATATATTTTTATTGTTCATCAGTGACTTCAATCCGCTTTGCTGTACTTTGCTTAGATCCTATTCTCTGGCATTCTAGAACGCTCCCGAACAAATTGCGTTATAATTGATGACACTCTGTGAAATTGGTCTCTGCCGGCGTAGAATGTCCGGCTATGAACCGCTGCCAATAACTGTAACCAACTTGACGAACCTCGTTCCCATTAGCGGCAAACTCAACCACTTGCTTGACCCACTCTGGAGCATCCACCACACACAGTACACGATGCCGTACGGTGCCATGCGATGCCAGGCGATATACCATGTCATCAGACAGACGACGTCGATGGTTAATCGGCCGGCGTTCTCATTACGCTCTCCGCCGCGGCCATTTCCGCACCTACTTAGCCGTGTGTAATCCCTATTGACCCCCATTTCCGTGTTGGCCAACTGGTAATGCATCCATCCTCCTCTTTAAACCCTTTGCATGTGCAACCCAATAGATGGATGCAACAATTGGTATTGCCCAGTTGGCCTTTTCATTAGCTTCAGTTTCAATTTGCTATTGGCTGCGAGTATTTTGCTGTTTTCTGCCATTTCTGCCTTGGTGTTGTTTGGGCCAAGAAACTTGTTTATGGCTCCTACAAG